AATTTGTTTTAATGAAACTTACAATAATGCTTATTAATTTATCACGCAATATCGTCGTGTAGAATTTAGATTTTTTTTATATTGTTGCATCAAGGTTGGCAGCATCGTCATGAATTAACAAATCGACAGTATTGTGCAGTTTTAAGCAATAAATCATATCCAAATACAAACAACATATTGTATTTTAATATATAAACAAAACATTTTCCAAACGATTTCACAATTATTCATTTATCTGAATGTTTTTATCATCTGATTCGCAAGAAGCACAACATACAATTTCGAGCTACCTACTTATCAACACTACAATCGTCTGGAATGGTATTGCATTTATTGACAAAGGTATGGATTTCCGTTAAAATGTACTACCTCCAGATACACACGATGACTGACAAACATATTTTAAAACTTCCAACTGATTTGTTGCAAAAATCTAGTTCAATGAATTGAAAAACTAGAGATGAAGTAAATAATGCAATACCGAATCATTCACCTGGAACAACTATAATGACGGATGTCAATAGAGAGGAAGCAGTAGAGCCAATTACAGTCAAAGTATCAGTGTTGCCAACCCATCTGACATACGCTCCTCAATTCCCTCCTATATTGATCGAATCATAGTCGAATTTCACAGAACCTATTTTATTAGTGGTTTTTTCCACCTTCACATCTTAGGACGATTAACTTCAGGCTAGACCAAGTGGAAATGAGGTTAGGGCATTACCACTTGGATAAATACATTGGTGATTGGTGAGATTCGAACCCAAGACCTCGGGGAACCGAAGTCCCGCGCTTTACCAGGTATACACCCAATGGTTTTAAAGATTTAAACAGTTTTCAGCGAGACGAGTTTTCTCTGTTACATTTTGTAGCATCTATGTTGAATATGACAAGCTAAACATTACCATATTGTAGTACGGTAGTACCATATTGATTGTTTAAAATATGAGATATACATGGGTAATTACTCAAATAGGCAAATTAATAAAATATTCTATCGATATTACAGTGATTTGAGTGGGAGGTGGGGGTTGGCTATTTTTCTAAGTGGTTGTTTAATCGAGGAAACTAACGTTTAAACTTTTGTATCACTGTCTATCACTTCACTTGTATCACTATCGTTCCTTTACACATCATTAAAAACGGACGCTAAACTTTTGGTTTACACAAAACTTCTATATTTTACACTTTGCATCTTTCTTTTAAAATAAAATATTATAAGTTAAATAAACTGTGAGTGAACATTTTCAAGCTGTAAAGTGGTTTCCAATTACATACATTATCCACCGTACCGTGCCCGTTAGTTGTGAGATGAATGCATTTTACGTTTGATGTCTGAAAGCTGTAGTCTATGTATAATTCACAAACACTCAGTAGCTCTATCTCTCGACCTTTTAACGAAATACATGACTCTCGTCTTAGCTTATGACCTTAAAATATAGTAATACATTATTAGAAATAATGCAACCTCACAAAATTTAACTGCTGAAAAAGGTTTAAATTTACTCAAACTCATTTAAATGTAATACAATGTAAAATTCACAAATATTTTACTGACCCACTGGTTAAAAACTAGACATTCAAACGAAAATAAAACGGGGGAATAAAATGTTTTTTTTATGTTAAGTAAAAGTAGGTTACAAATATAAATTTAAATTATTGTGTGGTTTATAGCCCGCACAGCTCCCTACGCAGGTCTCACGTCTCGGGTTCAATTCCTGGCAATCACCAATGGATTTTGTTTCAGGTGATGGTGTCTTAGCTGGAAGTAAAGTGCAAAACGGTTCTGGATTAGAGTCTAGTGATCTAGGATGTGAATAGAACAGTAAAACTAAATTGTCGGTAGAATACTACAGTTCTCATAACCTGAGGGTAGGTGGACTCTGTACTACCTTATCACGGTTTTATCACACAATTAAAACCCATTCTTCGTTAGCAAGATATAAACCATCGATATATAACTAACTACATACTACGTAGTAGTTATATATCGATGATATAAACCTGTGCCTATAGGTAGTATTGACAGCAATGCATCATGTTAAATTGCAATCCTGTTGTATTGCAACCAATTTTCATAAATAATTATTCAAATAACAAATTTGTAGAAAATAGTGTTTTTGTAAGAACGTAGAACATTCTTGAGATGAAAATAATGGAGGTGGAAGTCCAACCGGAGTAGGTGAAGTGAAAGGAATGATACATTTCAGTTTTATTGACAAGACTAACTACATACTACGTAGTAGTTATATATCGATGATATAAACCTGTGCCTATAGGTAGTATTGACAGCAATGCATCATGTTAAATTGCAATCCTGTTGTATTGCAACCAATTTTCATAAATAATTATTCAAATAACAAATTTGTAGAAAATAGTGTTTTTGTAAGAACGTAGAACATTCTTGAGATGAAAATAATGGAGGTGGAAGTCCAACCGGAGTAGGTGAAGTGAAAGGAATGATACATTTCAGTTTTATTGACAAGAAAGGCATTACTCAACTCTAACGTTGGGCTGCGAAAGGGTAAAAACGTTTGCAGTGGAAAGAGTTTGCTTGCAATGTTTTAAGTTAATAACATTTGGCTATGTTGCAACCTCTGGTTTGATGATGATTGATGCGAAATTTGATCATAATGTTGTTTTCTTTTGTTGTTGTCGGTTGACATTTACGTTTAAGTAATTCTTGCAAAACAACTCGTTTGGGTAGTTTAGTGAATTTAATTGACATATTAAAATTTAGTATTTTACTTTTAGAAGAGCGATCAATTTGGCATGGGTACTTACAAGGCACTACTGTTGTTACCTTAAGTCGTCTAAGATTTTCTTCACTAAAAGCTTACACAATGAGAACCTACGTTAAGAATTACACAAACAATTTACATACGTTTAATACATTTTTTGTTTAAATATTAATTTCAACGTTTAAACTATGATCGCAGCTGGTCTGGTTAGTGCGGGACCTTTGCCCAAACGATTCTGATTATAGTCCCTGGTAAATTTAAATAAATAGAAATTTTTAATTTGTTTTGTACGAATCGAGACACAGACAATTTACGAAAATGAGAATATAATTTAGAATTTGGAAGCACTGAGCGAGAGGGATTTGCAGATGCGACGGAGCGAACGCGGTGTTCAGAGGTCGCTGGTTTGGAAAATAGCCACATTTGAAACGACCCCACTTAACCTGTAAAACTATACACTCTTATGATTTATTACTCAATTCTTTCAAACACAGATGATTGCATTCTGTGGTGGTGAATTTGCGGTTGGTTGATTTAAAGTGAAAACAAATGGATAAAATGTAGTAGGGTCTATATCTTTCTTTTTTGTAATGCGGACCTAACATAAGCCTAGGTACACTCTCGTCGAAATGAATTCCCATATTATCAACAAGAAAGTGAGGATTTTTCGAGCCAGAATTGAGTTAATATTTACTAAGATTAATAACAAATAAAGATGAAAAAAAAATTAAAAATTTACTTCTGGCTGTTCTCTAATGCAATGCACCATTTTGGAAACGATGCGTCCTCGAATGAGGAACTGGTAATTATTTAAAACATGGTTTGTGACGGTAGGGCCTAATGGTAAAATGTGCAAAAGAAACCATATGTAGGGCACATACTCTGCCAGAAATGTAAAACTATTTGGTAAACTATATCTTGGGTTATTCAGACAATTTTGGCCTAAATAATTGGAATGGGAAGTTTACTATTCGCCTCCATAGTCCAGATACTTAATGATTACAATAGTATTATTATTCTATAATAAATTCTCTGTGATGCCTACACATAAGGTCTGGAATATTAACTTAAGACTAAACCTTAGGCAACTTAAAGCCTCAGGTTTAATACCTTAATTTATATAAAATCACTTAATTTATCATGCAAGGGCTAAATGACTACTACTAACAATTTTTAAACAGTGTTATTAAATGTTTCTACTTCATTTAAGTTTTTAAGGAGGATAACCACGTATCCTTAGTTAAAATTGTAAGAAAATATTCAATAATTCATATACAGTATAATTATTTCAATAATTTATATTACAACATATTGAAGATGGGATTTGTAATGATTATTGTATTTACACTAATCATATATATTGTGTACATAATTATTACTTTGATTTTATTTGATTTAAAGACAAATAATTTCAGGAAAGAACAAAATAAATCGGTATATACATAGCAAGCGCCAGTGTATCGTGTAATAGGCAGGAAATATCAGTGGCGCCAGCAAGATGGATTGGCAGCACTGGTTCCGTGGCAGTAATTGGCACAACTGCTTCCGCCACCATTACCACTACCACTACCAAACCTAATGGGCGCACAATTGTTACGATTCTACATAATACAGTAATACTGTACCATTGAGTTTACACGTAACACATTACATGTATACTGAATGGTATTACGGATTGAAGGGAGATTTATTCAGTGGTACACTTTATTATCATACAATTCGGACGTTTCAAAGCAGTTTCTTAAAAAAAAACAAAGTTTTATTTAAATAATGTTAGTTACTGTGGTTTAGTTTATTTTATACCTTGTAGAGAAAAAGATCCCATCTTTACTCTAAGGAGATATCCATTAACAGTTCCAATCATTGGGTCAATGGTTTGGGCCATTCCCTAAAAACACTAAGCTAGTGCCAATGGCATAGAAACACCACGAAACACATTAGATGCTGCAACTTAATTGGTTGTGTAACATTTTTCGAACAGAATTGTCTCGGTATTTATTCAGTGGTTACTGAGTGTGAAGATTTTTCTCTGTTATTTAAGGATAAGTTGTACAGCTTGCAATTAACTCTTTACTACAACAACCGAGGAAAATAATATTATTCAATAATAATTGGTTGTCTGAACATCTCAGTTAAACATCACCATTAGTAAACTACAAAAGAGATAGTACACATCTATGCACTTTTGAAATTATCTTCAGCAGAGATATAAAAATGACAAATCTACAAAGAATTAAGGGTCAAATGTAATCTACTCACCCCGAACGCTGAAAACCGCTTGGTCCTGCGACGGTTGGAATTCTGCTGATCCTTATTGAGGAAGACCTCTGATTTAGGCCTGGGCGGCTTCTTGGGCCTCAGTATGACTCGGGTCTCCTCGCATATCACCTCGTCCAGGAGCTTGGAGTCGCTGGACACTGACAGTTGTCTCTTGACTCGGTCGTGGTCTCCTAGGCCATCCCAGTCTGTGAACAAGAGGAGGTTAATAGGAGGTGCACAACTCCTGGGGACAAAGAATTGTTAAGATAGAAGTTGGACTCCGGAGAGTCAGGTAAGTTCCAGGCTCAGCATGGAACATTGGTCTTCCCAGGCAGTCACAGCATGAAGGAAAGACAAAGGTTAAAATTGGAGATGCATAATGCCTTGGAGGAAGATTTGTCATAGAAGTTGAACCTCCGGATAGTTGAGAAGAGTTCCAGCCACTTTCAAACTGAATGAAAACCAGTTTAATTAAATATCACATTCGTATTATCAAGCCGAAACACTCTGTGGGCAAAGGTAAATGTCCAAAAATGAAATATATTTAGTTGAAAGAAAACCTATAACAAGATCGTTTGACTATCTTGTAGAAAGTTGTACTACGGAGGAAAAAAAGTACAATTATTCTCGTACACTCAGAAAATAAACTGTTCGTCAAATTTGGTCACAACAAAATTTCAAAAACTAAGACTTATAAGATAGAACAAGTATCCAAACACTGAAACTAAATGTTAAAATATAAGTGATGATTGCTGCTAATGTCAAATTAATTTTAAAACCCCTTTTATAATATGTACAATTTTATACGCTTTATAATGTGCTTAATATGGAGTTTATTACTAATTATAACATTAATTTTTATATGTAATAGTAATAGTAGTGGTTTTTTATCCTGAGATTTTCGCAATGGCCTAATGCCAATTAGTTAATGTATCCTCCAAGTAAAATGAATTAACGATACGACATCGTCCCATTCATCAATGTGTATTTTAACCAGGCCACAACCACGAATGTTTACAGGGAACAATTATATTACCTTCCGAAGTATAACGAATATTTATAAGCAATAAAAATGCAAATCAAACATTAAACGTGCTAAGCCAACAACCACGAGGTAACGTAGCGAAAATCCAAAAAGGGATAAAACACGGGATAGAAGTTACCATGCGAGTGTTGTACACGAATCATATTTACGAGGTCGAAGTCTTGGCTGAATAACAATTTGGTCTCCCTCAACCCTACCACGGGTATCCCAGGTTTAAGGGAGGGGAGGTAATGTTTGTATGACTAATCGTCACCCCCCCTCTCCACACCACCAGGAGCGTCTCGAATTCAATTACACTGTTTACTATCTGACTAACGTATTCTGGACAATTTAGTGTATCAACAATTTATTTGCTTTTAATTTATATGTTTGTGCAATCAGTTGAGATTTTCAAAATGTACTTTGTGTCAACGGTATAAAGTTTTGTTATACTATAATTAATTAATTAATCACTACTACTTATAATTAATCACATTAATTAAGCTATGTCATTTTAAGTTTGTTTTATCAATTACTAACAAAAAACAGAAAAAAATGGAAATAAAAAGCGTTTTCCAGCAAGCTGAAGGAGATATTGCACTAATGATTCTGTTACAATTGCAATGCTAAATATTGAACGTAATAAATTTAACCCCTTAGTGAGAGTTAAATTTTATAAAACTTTTACACCATTAAATATTTTGAATGCGCTTTCAATAATCAGCAAAAACAAGGGACAGTGAAAATATTTACATTGATAAACAGGTAAAACGTTAAGATACATAAATTATCAACTAATATTGTTATTCATTAGAGTTTCAATTTATACAAACATGAAACGTATAGAAAACCGAAGGAAATACTTAAAGACAAATTTGGGAATAAAACGACAGACTACCACAAACACGGAGATCAGGCTAAGTTCCAGGATTACAAAGACCGCCGAGCATTGTTTTCTTTCACAGACATCAGACCAAAACAACGCGAGTTTTGGTTTCCAAACAATTCCTCCCTTTGATGACGCATTCGTCCTTTGACCAGGAATGTACATTGGACGGACGTTTAAATTCAACAGGCCTGCTCCAGTTTGAACTTGATATAGTGCAACGTGGTAGAAAAAAGTAGGAAAATTATACAGTGTGTAAATTAAGTATGGAAAAAAATCTGTATTTTTAAAACCGAAATAGATAGAAATATTCTATTTGTGGCAATAATAGTTAACAAAGATTCCGCAATTTTTCACATGAAAAATATTTTTTTACCCCCCTAACAGGGTAGGTGGTAGGGGGTGACTTATTTTTTTCAAATAGCAACCCCTATTGAGTGACCCCTCATTTTGAAGGGTTTGTCAAAAGAAACACAATGACGCAAATCCGAGGTGAATATCTCACTCCTAGCTAACATGGCGGATATTCCAAAATGGGCTTTTTTTTTTACAAAAATTAAATTTTTCATTACCCACCATTTAGGCTAGGGGTGAAATATCTACCTCGGGTTTGCGTCATTCTTTTTCTTTTAACAAACCCTTCAAAATGAGGGGTCACTCAATAGGGGTTGTTGTTGAAAAAAATAAGTCACTCCCACCCCCTACCCTGTTAAAGGGGTTGAAAAAATATTGTTGATTAAAAAAATTGCGGAACCTATGTCAACAATCAATTCCACAAACAGAATATTTCTATCTATTTCGGTTTTAAAAATACAGATTTCTTTCCATTATTTGTGAAATTGGTGCTTTTCACGTACAATAAATCAAATTTTGGAATATCCGCCATTTATATTCACCTCGGATTTGCGTCATTGTGTTTCTTTTGACAAACTCTTCAAAATGAGGGGTCACTCAATAGGGGTTGCTATTTGAAAAAAATAAGTCACCCCCTACCACCTACCCTGTTAGGGGGGTAAAAAAATATTTTTCATGTGAAAAATTGCGGAATCTTTGTTAACTATTATTGCCACAAATAGAATATTTCTATCTATTTCGGTTTTAAAAATACAGATTTGTTTCCATACTTAATTTACACACTATTATCTTTAGTTATAAACATTCTATTGGCAATTAAATGTTTGAAATGGTTCTAAAAATGATTCTGGCACTCTCATTTCTTTCAAAATCATTAAACTAACCAGCATTGTTCATACGAAACATTAATCTTAAATTAGATACTTAAAGTGTACTATAATGCCAATATAAAAGTTACTTGCTAATCTTATGTGTCTACAAACACAGCTATAATTCTTAGGTTCACGTTTATTCATAAGTTTTCGTAGATTGGAATCAGCGAGCATATTTGTTTAGCAACGGCGATTACCACCACCATACAAATAATTATACTACCGGAACGTATAAAACACGAAGGAAAAATTAGGATTTACAATGTCAAAGTAAACGTTGTTCCATTTCATTAACATACATTTTTAAACGAGACGAAAAACAATATAATGGTGGAATGGTACTAAATAAACTGTAAAATATTAAAAGTGTTGCTTAGTTGATAATCAGCACACAATATACAGCACAATAAAGCAAAATAACATATTGTTAATTCTATATATTTTTGAATCATTTCTGAAGATACATTTTAATATAACAATGCATTTTAAATACCTTTACACTTTAATAGCAGTGCCAATTTAATATTGAGCACAGTCCAAACATTGAATTGGAAATAATTGCAAACGACTCCGGAGCAGGATAAGGAAGTGAAGTGTTTTGCAAGGGATGAAATCCTATATGGGTCAGTCGCGGGGGTGGGAGCTTGGTTTTGATCTGTGCACTCGATTTTGTGATTGTCTACAGTAACTTGACCTACTTATTCCCTAACTGTACTTGATATGTTACGGATCTGGTTTAGATATATGTTACTGTTCTCAATTGTCTTCAGATTCTATATGATTTCAATTATTTGCTGCGACAACCTTGCTGTTTATTAATAAAATAAAATATTTACCATTTTCATTGACACATTTGTTATTTTGGAAATGAGAATAAACCTAGTGTGTAGCATACGATCAACCTCAGTCATTGTATAACTAAAATTAATTATTGAATTATCTCCTTTTATCTGTAACAGTTTTATAATCACCAGGCTTTCTTACACTTTCGTGAGATCATTTACTTACAAGACGAACAAATTGTTTTTGTGGCCATTAAAACCCTTAAATGGTTGAGGACATATGAAAAAGCACCCTTAAAACCAAATTTACAATTTTGAAATTTTAGATTTTGTATGAAAACCTTCCTTTTTCCTTCCTTATGAAACACCAATAAAATCTACAGTATTTACAAAAGTTGTAGTGATAAGTATCTAATATCTAAAATAATCCCAATGTCAAAAAATTTCCAGGGTTATAAACGGCTTGGTTATACTTAGTAAGAAACCCCTTTTTTGCTTTAATAAAATAAAATTATAGTATTAATGAAACTACACTCAACTAAATTAATAAATTAATTGTAATGGACCAAAATTTTATCACTTCTCTTTTTAACAAACCTTTTCATAAAACTAAATGTTTACTGAAACGATACGTACTATACCTACTGTAATTTTGAACTGAAACGTTGGTTGTTGAATTTTGTTGATTACTGACTCGTTGATCAGCTGTTTACATTGTTGCATTGATGTGTTTAAAACATGTTTGGATCAGCTGATAGGTTTGATATAATATGCTAGCCAACAGTTAATAGGCTAACTCATCACACAAGGTAGGCCTATACAGGTAATCCTGATAACCTTCGACAGTTTAGGTCCAGCCTAACAATACCACAAACTCGATTAGTATGATTGTAAATAGTTGGTGGAAACGGACACATTGAGCGTATTTTTAAACCTATTTTAGTAGCTAAGCTACAAACCAACGTCTACTTACATTTCGAATAATTGAGGAAACACACAAAGAAAACTCTGCTTATGAAATCGATGAATGACATCACCAAACGTGAAACAGTTGAATACATAGTAAAAAAATATATTACAAGCACTGTTTGCAATCAAAATACACAGAAAATAACTTATTGTTAAACGAATGTACAAACACGTACACGACTCACTAGTGGCCTCAACACATTAGAACAGGTAAACCGTTGTGATAATGGTTTGGTGATAAGAAAACGAATGTTTGCACTGTCGAGGTAACTTCAAAGGTTACTTGTTATATAGGTAAATGTGTTTGTAAATATCAATA